ACAACCCCCCTCCCCCCCCCCCACCCTCCCCTGGTGCCTTAGGGTACCCATTGCCAGAATACCCAACAAATGATTTGCCTGGTGGGAAAGTCTGAAAACATTCCAACACACCTTCAGGTTTTAGAAGCTGCCAATGAACTTAGGTAGCATAAAGGTACTACCAAACTTTTTTTTCATTTAACATCAAGCAAAGAATGCTGTCTTATTAGCACAATATCTATAATAGCAACCTGAAGCAGCATCTAAGTTCCACTTTAAGTATGACACAGTTGTGAGTGAACTGTAGTTTTACAGTCATACCACTCCAGAACAGAAGGTGAGACTTTGCATATTGTTTAAAATCAGTTGTAAAATTGCATTTTTTTCTTTTAACACTGTTGTTCATATGTGTTAGGTCTTTTAATCCATAAGTGTAACAAACATACATGTATAAATAATTTAAAAAATACATATGCTGCTAAAATAGGGTGGCCGGGGGGAGAGAGAAATGAAACACAGGAAAAATACATTATGATTTTAATCATGGGTGCTTTGCTTTGCTTCCCAATAAGGCAGCCTGCCTGTCAGAGATGTCAGATTTCCCCATAATTCCCGAAAGCGCCTCCACCACTTGAGATGCTCCGTTACGCTGCTCAGTCATTCTTAAGAACGTTCCTCGTTTGTAGTGGAAATCCCATCTCTTTGTTATTCACTTTTACCAATCCTTGTATTGCACACGTGGGCACCCCCAGATTCTCTATGACCCTGAGAGACATTCTTTGTAGCCACATACAGTAGTTGGTCAAGTGGCGGCGGCTGCTGCTGCCGCCGCCGCCTCAAGCTTTTCTCCTGTTGGCTGCCCCATTGAAGCCAACTCCTCAGCTGTTGCTGAATGCAAGTGTTGAGTGCCAGCCTGATGGAGAAGAAGCAGTGCCTTGGCTGGAAGAGGCTGGTTGCCAAGAGTTATGCCAATCACCTTTCCCCGACTTAAATGGGGAAATCGCTTGTCAGTTGTCAGCTGTCAGTTCACAGGAAAGGGAAATTAGTTCCTCTTCCACTAAGGCAGAGAGCACTTGTGAGTTTTTGTGCACGGGCGCATGCATATTTATGAGTACAATGATGAGTACCATCTTTTGTCTCCTGCAGCCCTGGGGGGAGAGAAGAGTTGCCCACAAGCACTTTCTCAATTAGAGAAAATTCATGCCTGTAAAGTTTGTAAAACCTCAGTAACTAGCCGTGATTTACTAACATCAAGCCCTAAATGTTATGAGCTATTGTCCCAGTCCAAAAGCATGAAATCCTGCCATTCTTTATGAGTGTGAGCATGTTAAGCTTTGTCCTGGATGAATTCCAGAATGAGATAGTAGTCCATTCTCCTCTCCTCTCCTCTCCTCTCCCCTCCCCCCCCCGCCTTGCCCCTGCCTCCATGGCTCCTGATATTTCTGGCTGAATGAAGCCTCTCACTAACTTCTTTTCCTATTATTGAAGTATACAAGCCCCATTTGCTTATTCTTGCTTCAGCTGATGGCACCATAGGCAGACAAAAGAGATTCTAATCACTGTGGAGCCATGTTTGGTCAAGATGATAATAGCTCTGCTAGCATGACATACTAACTCAAGGCTAACAGAACCATCATTCTGATCCAAAAATGGCCAAGGAGATGCCTTTGGGAAGCCAAAAGATGAATGCGATAATGCTTTTGTTCTTTCTCCAGCAATTGGTATGAAGAGCCACATTGCTTCCAATGCTGTTTAATACTCTTTTAAATGATTCAATAGAAGGCTGTCATTGCAATACCTGATAGTAAAGTACATTGGTTGCTTATCAATAGAAATCCTACTCAGACAGTGCCTTTGTGTGGATATCTGAAGAAATGAAGAATAGCAAGCCACCCTTTTTCTCTCCACGTTGAACTATGAACGTCACTGAAGAGAAACCTTCTAGATGAGCTGAAACCAAGAATCTCACTCTGTATAACGGGGATTATAAGACTGTTTAGGGACTGAAATTCTAGGGTATTATTTTAACCTAATTTGTATTGCATCTTTGCGTCTTCCTCCCTAGACTGTGGGTTTTGGAAGTATTGTTTTGTTTTTAAAATGGCATCAGCTTGCACATTTATATCCATATCTACTCACTAAGATTTTGATATGGCACCTAAAGGGTGGATGTGGGAATGAGCTTTATGGGATTTTAAAATTGGGGGGAGGTATATGTATATTGGCTGAACTTAAAAGCCTAAGTAAAGACTTCAGTAGTTGTAAAGGACAATGAGACATTTCTTTAAAGAACTGTTAAGGAAATTAGTCCCTCTTTTTGAGATCAAATAAAATTAGATGATGTAGATAAACATTCAGAATTTCATGTGATAGATGGGTAGTCAATTTTTATTTAATGCCCATTTCATTATTTTTACAGCTCAAAAATATGTACCCAGAGCAATTTTGGTGGACCTGGAACCTGGAACCATGGATAGTGTGCGATCTGGCCCTTTTGGACAACTCTTTCGACCCGATAATTTTATCTTTGGTATGTTGATTATATTCGGTTACAAAAACAAAACTTGCCAAAGAAAGGGCATTGAAATGCATACAGTAGACAATGCTTATATACCCTTGCACATTGATAGTTTTGGTGGGTACCTCTTTTTTCACAAAGTGTTGTAACAAAACTTCATACGGGTAGCCAGTGCATTTTTCTGCAGCACTGGCTGGTGAATCTTGACTTTTTAATAAAAGACATAAAAAATATCTGAACTGATAAGCCTATCCATCTCAGCATTAATGGGGGTGAATGAATTTCCTGTGTTACTTGTGTAGTGTCAGTATACCACAGTGTACTTGAGTGTAAAGTTATATGAAGCATTTCAAAAAATGCTTTGGCTATTACTTGGCAGCTAGAGCTCTCAGTATATGATCACTAAAAAGTTATTTTGAAAATGTTTAAATTTATAGAGTTTTGGAATGGTGAAGAGTCTAATATTGTTTCATGACTTGGTAAATCTGACCTTTTTTCTATCATTTCAGGACAAACAGGTGCTGGAAATAACTGGGCCAAAGGACATTATACTGAAGGAGCAGAACTTGTAGATTCAGTGCTCGATATTGTGAGAAAAGAATGTGAACACTGTGATTGTTTGCAAGGATTTCAGCTCACTCATTCTCTTGGAGGAGGAACAGGTTCTGGGATGGGCACACTTCTCATCAGTAAAATTCGAGAGGAATATCCTGATAGGATAATGAATACCTTTAGTGTCATGCCATCTCCCAAAGTGTCTGACACTGTGGTAGAACCATATAATGCTACACTCTCAGTCCACCAACTGGTTGAAAATACAGATGAAACCTACTGTATTGATAATGAAGCACTGTATGATATTTGCTTCCGTACTTTGAAGCTTACCACTCCAACATATGGAGATCTGAACCATTTGGTGTCTGCTACCATGAGCGGGGTCACGACATCACTGCGTTTTCCTGGCCAACTAAATGCAGATTTACGCAAGTTGGCAGTAAATATGGTTCCATTCCCACGCTTACACTTCTTTATGCCTGGATTTGCTCCTTTGACTGCCCGAGGGAGCCAGCAGTACCGAGCTCTGACAGTCCCAGAGCTCACTCAGCAGATGTTTGATGCCAAAAACATGATGGCAGCCTGCGATCCAAGACACGGACGATATCTGACAGTGGCCACAGTTTTCCGAGGTCCCATGTCCATGAAAGAAGTTGATGAACAGATGCTGGCCATCCAGAACAAGAACAGCAGCTACTTTGTGGAATGGATCCCAAATAATGTTAAAGTGGCTGTTTGTGATATAGCACCCCGTGGCCTCAAGATGGCCTCTACCTTTATTGGAAACAGCACTGCCATTCAAGAGCTCTTCAAAAGAATTTCAGAGCAGTTCTCTGCCATGTTTAGGAGAAAGGCTTTTCTTCACTGGTTTACTGGTGAAGGAATGGATGAAATGGAATTTACAGAAGCAGAGAGCAACATGAATGATCTTGTCTCTGAGTACCAGCAGTACCAAGAAGCAACAGCAAATGATGGAGAGGAAGCATTTGAAGATGATGAGGAAGAAATTAATGAATAAAGTTAATATAATACTCAAGTCTGAAGTGTTTGCTTTAGTGCTAATCATTTCCATAATAGTAAGAATATCATATTGTAGAGCTTAATTTTCAGAGACTGGGTTAATTTAGCCACTATTTATTTTGTTTAGAATGGATCATGAGTGCTTTGCACCAAATGTAAAGCTAACATTTCCCCTGATGATTTACTTTCTTGCACAATGGTGCTTCAAGGGCAAGACTTTAACTCAAAAAATCAGGCCCAAATTCAATAGAGTGAGCATTATTCCCCCCCCCCCGACCGTTAGTTAGGTTGGGTCGTCGTACGTA